GGTTCAAAACCAGACAGGAATGTTTTTTGTAGTTTATACATCTCTTGGGGTGCAGTGAGACAACAAGAGCCTTCCTCTTTTGTAATGGTTCATTTGCCAATCAACTTCAATGTAAGCTTCTTTGAAATCGAAGCTACTACTTTACTTCAATTACCAATTGGCAGTTCTGTGGCGTCATGCACATGTGTCAAACTCAAGGCCCGCGTGCCACATGTGGCCCCCCAGCATTTTATAGGCCAATGATTGACTTAAAATAGGTTTTGAGCACGAATTGACTACAAACTACATTTCAACCAAAGGTTTGTAATGCGTTTCTTAACCAGACGCTCCAAAGCGTCCGGTCCATAACTCTTCAACACGCTGTCAGCTCCCGGTCAGAAAGACGCATTTAGTTCAGAGACCATGAGATGATATTCAGAAAGGACTTTTTTTTTATTAATTGGTTTCAGTTGCCTCTGAGACTAAATCTTTGCGTAAAGTCTATAATGTCTGCCCATATAACTTGTTTTTATTATTTGCTTGCTCACCTTTAAACACTGATTTAAATATTGTAATTTTTCAACAGAGCAGTAATTTTACATCCATGGAAACTCAAATGTAATATTTAAAACTTCAATACATAAAATCAGTTATTTAACAATATGAGGTGGTGTTTAATTTATTTTTAACATTGTATTTTTATACATTTATGCTAGGGCTGCCCAAGTCTAGTTTTCCAGAGCTACCATCTGCAACTTTAGATGCATTCCTTCTCTTATAAGCCTCAGCAGAACTGAATGAGGGAAGTCAACCTTTTGTCTGGGGTGTTTTAGCAGGGATGCACTCCTGATTTGTACCGTCAATGTGGCCCATTGAGGGGGGCCAATATGCTGAAATGGTCCTCGGTGAAATTGAGTTTGACACCCCTGGTCTAGCCAGTCCCCTGCACAGATTATGTTGAGATAGAGTTTTCCTTTTCACTGTCAAATGCATGCAGAGTGTGTGAGAGGTTTCTGCAAAGTAACTAACTTCAAGAAATCAACTGTCTGCTGTCGTTACAGGAGGAGTTGATGCAACTGGCTGGGATTCCTTAGAAACAAAACCTTTTGCCAATTAACTAAACTCGACTGTGTTGTTTTATGACAATGCTGTCAAGTTGGAATTAATGAAACTACATTTTTATGTGTCTTTCTGATTAGGTGAAGTTGACAAGTTTTAATATCTAAGACTGAGTTGTAAAGTGCTTTGAGTTGGCATTTGTTTTGAAATGATGCTACATAAATAATCTCAATTAGAAATGGTACAATTTTAACATTTACCAAACTGGCACCTTTCAAGCACCTAAAGCAATTTCAACTTATCATTTTTTAAATTTTTTTTTACTCTGCAGTTACTTGAGCAAAACTGTGCTTTTTCTCATCTCAAATACCTCTTAGCGCTAACTAATTCACAGTTTATAATTCATTTAATCATCGCTTACTGGATCATTTCACCTAGTTTATATGTTGCACTCTCTCAGTCCCTAACATCCCTATTTCAGATTAATGTCAGTAAGCATTATTTATAGTTTGTAAGAAGATATTCTCTTTAATTTTTTTTTTTTTTGCACGGCTTATATCAATACAATTTCCGGCATTCGTACTGTTAGGAGACCAAGTGATGCATCTCAGTGGGTTTTATTGTCGTCCCTCCCCAAGGTGGATTCAGTTACGGCCTCCTAAAACACCCTTGAACATAAAACCACACTGAGGGAACTGGAACCTCCTCATGTGAAATTCATAAATGTTTGATGCTCTGAAGAATGGCCCCTATTATGTCATGCATTACTTTAGGCCCCTGCTATCACAGAGAGCTCTGATTTCACTGTAGGCTATGTCTTAAATTAGTTTCATGTTTTAAATGGGGATCATCCTGATTATGTCCATAAAATACAAATCATATTGTATCACCTCTTAGTATTTGCTGGAAGTTGTTGCCAGGTTTGTTGCCCTACTTTTGGAAAGTTCAGTCCGAAAATAAATTGACCCAACCAAAGAGCCGCTCTAAATTTAATAGGCAGTTTCTACCTTTAGTAATGTAAGTAAAGTTCTGAGTATTTTTTCAAATAAAATTAGTAAAGTCACCGTCAGATGTAAAAAGAGCAATCTAATTTAGCAATTCAGTGGAAGTGCACCACGTGGCTGGCAGCGTGACAAAAGTTGAGCTCTGAGTTGCTTTCATAAGCAATTTTCCCTGAATAGTTGCTGAAGAGCAGGAAAAGAGTCACGACTGGGGAAACGTGTTCATCCAGCCAACTTATCTTAGTGATTTAATTATGACCCAGTAAAACCTTTGGTGTGTGGTAACCTGACTTCACTGAAAGACGTTATTTAGGGTTCATTGCTTCACAGTATTCTCTGTTAGTAACATGATGCTCGTGTTTCTGACGGCACCATGACAACCAGCATCGGGTCTTCGGAAAAGCTACGTATTCTGTATTATCACCAAATGTGTAACATCTGCAGCTAAAATGGGTTTTTGTCAATGAAGCGCTTTAAGTTATGTAAATGATTTCATTTCTTTTTTCATGGAGACCTCACAAAATATCCCCTGATTTCCATAAAATTACTTGTAATGTTTTTTTAATAAGCATAGATTAACTGAGAAAGTAGGCACTTTAAATATTTATGATTTAACTTTGAAGTCATAAAAATCAAGTAATTTCAACTAATATATTGTAACTCTTTTAGTTCATCATCAGGATCTGCTAATGCTTCCCAAGTACAAGTCATGCTGTCCATAAAACCTTCTGTAGACTCCATATTTTAGGAAGTTTCTGAGTGGTGCATGTTTTTAAAAAGAAGAGCAAAAGATTGAAAGCTAAAAAAAGTAAGTAAGATTTTGGCTTTATCTTCTGTTGCTTAAGAATAAAAGTAAGACGTTGGTTGTGGCTTATAATTAAAAACTTGAGCCACACTAGATAACCTAAGTAAGCCATATGAAAAACATCCCTTCTGAACTGTGCCACTGAAATCATGAAAGGCGTGATGCTGGATTTTTAAATAAGTCTTCCACATTTACTCGTATTTTGCTCCTAGTACAGGAGTGTCAGAAATAATAAACGATTGGGAAATCCATTTTAGTGGATCAGCTTCTCTTTAACAACAACATACGGTCTTTGCACTTTCAGGTTTCTTTGTGCAGCAGTTTCCTCCCACTGAACCCCGCAGCAGTTGCCTATCAATTTCCCTCCTGGAGTTCTCGGCCCAGACCAATCCACCCCCAAATCCAGGTTAACCGGAGAACAATGCATGGAGGAGAGTCGATCAGTGGTGTCAGGCCGAGGTTTTAAATCACAAGAGCCACAAAAGAAATACAAGCAGTCAACCGGAATCGATTTGTCAGCTCAGTTTCCTCCCACTTAGGCTAAGAATATTGGCTTTGTAACAAAAAAGAAAAAAGAAGAAAGAGAGAAAATGAATATCTGTAAAAGCTAAGAAGGCTGAACAGTGTTGCTCCACAGCTCATTTCTTGAGAGGGCAGAGCTGTCGTAAGCCAGGCGATCAACCTGGAAGCCGTTTCTTTCATTTCAATGCAAATGTTGTCCAGGCACTAACGGCAGTGTGCAAGCTAACGGCCTGTTTAAGCACAAATGTCTGCCTGTTCTCGGTGGCAGCCAGCTTTAAAGTCATTCCCCGTTTTACGGTCAGACGTTTCTCATCAGCTGCTTTCTTTATGAACGACAGAAGATTTGTCTCACCGCAAAAGAGGCAGTAAGGCAGAGGAAGTCAGAGCGTACTGTTAAAACTTTTGATGTTCTGCACAAAGAGGAAAATAAAACCCAGCTGTAAATTGAGTTGTAATCTCAATGAGAGAGAAACTTCAGATCCTTCATGTTAATTCATTTACAGGCCATTCAGATGAAAACTAATTTGATCAACTAAACTCGTGAACTCGTGAAAATATGATATGTTTTTATCATAATTTATACTTGGTTAAAAGAATAAAAAAATATATTTATATAAAAGAAAAAAAACATATGAATAAAAAGAAAACAGGGATTTAAAGAGGCCAAGGTTGATAATAATATCAGTTTTGAGTTGTTAGGTCTGGTATCTCTTGTTTTCCTCTTCTATCATTTGTGCATCTTTTTCCACCGTACTTTTTCCTTCCACTCAGCTTTCCACCAATATGGTTGAAAGCAGTCCACATGATTGTGTAGGCCTTAATATTGTCAAAACATCTTCTTTTGTGATATTCTAACTGGATAAAAATTTGAGAAATATACTATTTTTCTAATTAATACATCTGCATTTCAAGTGTGTATTTCTGCAAATTTGCTTGGTAAGCTAATAAATAAAATCATCTACACCAGTATGTTGGGTATATTTTTGTAACTCTGTGTCCATTTGGTGTTTTATTGTCTGTCCTGTGTGACTCTGTGTTATCCCATAATGGATTGGTGAACAGTTATGACCCGATGATCGCTGCTAATGGGCACCAGGACCCTGCAAAGACCAGCAGGAATAGACAATGGATGGATGGGTTTGGGTTTTACTCATGATATGTGACTCCTTTGAGCTTCCACACAGACAACTCTGCGTTGCGTGTGTTTGTTTGTTTCTTTGTGTGTGTGAGCATCTCCACGGTAAGATTGTCGCATTTTGTGAACAAAATCCTTTGCAGTTTTTTTATGTGTGGATCAGAAAAAGCTGGTTGGAGCAATGTGCTGAAAAATCTGACAAGGAACAGAAGAACGAAAAGAACGAGAGACACCGGTGGAAGGATGTTTGATCTGCTCAGTGGTTTCGTATCAAGGTGGAAAATGGGTGTGTGTGTGTAAGAGAGAAAGAGAGAGAGAGAGAGAGAGAGAGACTGATGCTGCTCAAAAAATAGAATACTAATACAGGAAGGAAAGATATTTATTTTCAAGAAGTGCACTTGCAGCGGCTAACAGAGAGAGACAAATAAAAATGAAGAAATGCATGGCGTTAAAAATGTAAAGGTAAAGCAGGAAGTGAAGGAGAGATCAAAACAAACTGCCTCCTATTTTCCACGGGTCGTAAATTCATCTTAACAGCTTCAGAAAATTGAACTCTTCCACCGTCTCTGCAGACCATCAGCAACATTTTCCACAAGCCCTTAAAGAGATTGTGGAGGGAAGGGTTGATAAAAAAAAATGAAGTGTCAGGCTAGAGAATTTAATAAAAGAAACAAATTTGTCTGTCAGAGATAAACGTCTAAATTTTTGCCATTCGATGGCTTTTACTGAGCCCCACGACACAAATTTCTCCAAAGATATCAGAAAGACTAAGAGATATTTTAGCAACAGAATAAACAGTCTCCTGCTTTAAACGAGAAAATTTAGGTTGTACTTCACCTTACCTGGATCTATTCACCTTCATTTCATTCCCATAAACAATTTCTCATCATTTTAATTCTTTCCAGAAAGTATATTTTCAAATTATGTGGACTGTGTTTCTGATTCCATCCTGTTAAGTTGAGGGATTTTATATTATTAGATTTTACAACCAATAGGCAAATCAAATCAGTGCTTTTTCGACTAATATTTTTTTCTGAACAATATTAGGTGCAAGGTGACAACAGTACAAAATGATGAAAATGACTGATTAATTACACTGCAGAGAAAACTCTACACAGTACAAGTTGAGTGATAAAGAAATAAAACGAACTTTGAGAAGTGTGGCAAACGGTGACCTTGTGGAAAATCAGGATGGATGAGAGCGATGAAGAGACCTGAAGCAGAGATCTGGACACCAAATTTTCATAAACCGTTCCTTAAACGAATAACTTAAGTGGATTAGATCCAGAGGAAGCAAGGCATTCCATCCGGGTGGTTTTATTTGGAGGTTTTATTCTAAGTTCCTCGAGGGAGGATAGAGTCTACTCAGGCTGGCATCAGCAGTGTTGTCCCGACCTTCCTGTCTGGAGATAACGGGTCCATCCCCTCGTGGAGCTCCAAGTTTCTTTTCCATGTCCTGCAAAATGTCCTTCCAGTAGGCTGGAGTTTGTGGACAGAACCAGACACAGTGTGCATGGATTCATACTGAGACGTTGCACTTCTGACATTGAGGTGACAGATGCTGATTCGTGCCGTTTCTCTGACTTGGTGAAATTTGTAGACGGTGCAGAATTTTAAATGGCAACACTCTTGAACGGTTGGACACTGAAATACCTCGGCGCCGTTCCACTTGTTCCATTTATTTGTTACATTCAAGGCATCATATTGATTTGACGTATTGTACATTTGTCTGTGCATTGCTCTCTACTTCGTCCATCCAGTTTGTTTCACTTGAAAGTGTGTGTTGTCATTTTTTTACTTCCGTCTGTTTGGTGCTCTTCTCTCTGTCTCCTGCGGCGTTTTCTCTGCAGGCACAAAGCATCAGGGACGCAAAGCAAACCCAGGAGACCTCCTGCTGTTATCACCCACAGCAGGCGGGTATGATGCCTCATCTTTTCACTCTTGTTTCTCCCCTCTGTTTTCTTTCTGAATGGCTTCCCCGCGTTTACACAGTAAAGATCGTGTTCACATTTTTGTTTTCAAAGCCCAAAATTAAATTGCCCGACCCTCCAGGAAGCTTGAAGACGGTTTGTTTAGAGCTGAGGACAGTCAGACAACGCAGAGGCTTATCAGTACAGTCATGCCAACCGGTTCTTATCTGCTCCTCCCGCTTTTCCAGTTCCCGTGCGTTGCAGAGAGAGACCTCTCCAGTATTGTTCCGCGTCTCCAACAATCTCCAGACTCTCTAACGCTGGGAGCACCGCAGGACAGCGTTGTCATGACAGCAAAGGTGAACAAAGGATGTGGGGAGAGCAAGGCGTCGGCTTTTAAACCGTTTGTTTGTGCGTTTAAATCACAGCCAGACGCAGCAGAATCTCTCGCCCTCTCCATTATTTCTTGCTGCCATTCTAAAGGATGAGCACCTGTGGCCTTCACGCTGTTGCCATGGCAACACACATGCACCCTCGCCTTAATCGCTCTTTGGTTGTTGAGCCTCAGGTTGAGCCTTGATTGGCTGGAGCGGCACAGGACACGATGCTGGATCGTGTCTGCATTTCTCCACTGTTGTAGAAAGAAGACATTCAAATTAAAAGCATACAGTATGAACAATGTGATGTATATTACAGTCGTCTACCGTCATTTATAATGCTTTGATTTAGTTTTTGGGATCATTATTTTTTATCCTAGTTTAATCCTTTTATTTTTTATTTTCCCCAGTACATAGTGGGGGATGAAACATTGGAGTGTTTCTGTTCTCATTCTCTCCTTTCCACCTTTATTACCTGCTCCCCAGCTAAGAGTCCCTCAACTAGTATTTGGGGCTTAAAATCATTTTCTGTCATCAGTTATCTGTTTCCAAACCCTTCCTGTGACCTCTATTTCACAAAACGGAGCATGTCTGCCTGTGTTGTGGAAACCGAGAGACTTGTCTGCCAGAGGACTTAGATTTTGTAGAAAACATTCTAACTAAATGAAAAAAACAAGTAATAATTATGTTTGTGAACAATGAAGACGCAACTTCAAATTAGGAAACTTCTCCACTGTCAGATGCCTGATGCTCACCTTGACAAAGTTGGAAGTTGGAAAAGTTTTGCAGGGGGAAAAAAACCCCGTAAAAGTTTACAGCCACTTCTCAATGCCGCCCTGCAAACACCTGTAAACACTGGATAGACGGATGTTGATTTCGCTTTGACTTTGTGTGTATAGAGTTTAAGTGTTTTCTTATGGGAAGTAATGAATAAGAAAGTTACTGCAAACGCTTTCCTTTCAGTCAGACAATGTTTTGATCTGAGATTCGTAATGCTAATGCTAGTGGCAATTAGAATTTCACATAATAAAATCAGCTCAACTGCACAGGTGCTTTGCTGCTCTGTATGGAGAATAAAAATATCTATGCAAAGTGATTGGTTTCCTATATATTTGCTGTTATATTTGGCCTAGTGACAATGTGTGAATTAGTGATAAGTCAACTTGATTAATTAAAGTAAAACTGCAAGTGAAAAAAATCTTGCAAATGAATGTAATGATTGTCTAATAGATTAGCATAAAGGAAGCCTTGATAGGATCCATCCTCATGTGACAAGTGAATATTTAATTTACTCCATGGATTTTCTGTCATCTTATTTGTTTCAAAATATGCATAAGGTGGACTGACCACAGCACGAATCACTGGGCAGGAAAAGCTCCAGGTCTCCTTATGTCACTACTATTAGCACCCATTGTTTTTTTTAGATTCACTTTATGTTCTTCTCAGTTTAAACCACACAATTTCCAATCAGTGTTGCTCCTGTGGTTTATCTAAAAACACAGTAAGAATCTTTAGGCAGCTTGATTTCACAGTACGGTTGGAGAGTCGTAAGGAAAATGAAGGCATCATTTACTAAACTTCCTGCCAATGTGCTGCAGTTTACGACCTCGTGGGCGGCGCGCTGCGCAGACCCGGCTTGGTGCCGCATTCCTTTTGCTCACCTGTCATCTGCGATGCATCCGCTGCAGACATTGATGGCATTTTTGCAAACAGCTCAATCTGAGGTCGCCGCTCCACGTGTTATGACTCGAATTTCAAATGTATCTCCAAGCACAATTTCCTTTCTATTCTAAAACGAATAACAATATGATGTGTCAGTTGCAGCTTGTAGTGCCAGCTCACTTAAACCATGATCCCTTTGTTATCAATGTTTTACTTTCCACAGCTTCTATATTTTTAAGTGAAGGCAGATATTTGCATTTGGAATCACTGAGTTATATATTTTAGTATAGACGGTGTCAGAATCTGCTGATTTCCATTCTAACTAAGCCCACAGGCAGCTGAATATTTCTCCTGTGCAGGGCTGTTAATCACTGAGACTGCCTGCTGTTTGGCATGAACGCTTCAGCCTTTCACTAAATAGAGCTGGCTGCCTCTGACAAATAATGTTATGTCCCCATCTTTTAAGCTATTTCCTTCTTGTTAACTCTACCATACTCTGAAATTAAATATAAGACATTTTATTTAGCCCTTTATTCCCCCCGTCCTTTAACGTATGAAGCATATAGGACTCTGACGGAAAGTAGCATTGATTTCTCCCCGTCAGCCATTTTCTCCGTAATGGTATCTGTTTCTCTGAGCTCTCAAGAACTGACTCACAACCAGCCCCAGTGACAAACTAATGAGGCAATTAGCACTGCTCCATGAAATAATGTGAATTTGAATTCACACAAAGCGACTGTGGAAATTGTAAAAGCGACGATCAGAGTTCTCTAAGACGTCCTAAAATATATATATATTTTTTTTTAGATTACTATTTTTGCGTAAAGTAAGCAGACAGCACACACTGAGCACATGCAAAGCTCTCAGTCACAGTAATTGTCTACTTGGGTGGAAGTCTTTTGCATGATGACTCATCCCCACCATCCCCACAATGCACTGGGGATGAATCTCAGACACACAGAGAGATGGATGCCTTTAAAAAGAAGCTCACTGGAAAATTACAACAGCTCTGGAGGGAAGGACAATCACGGCTGTGACTCAGTCAGTGCTGAATCTTACAGGAAGGAGTTGAGCTTCGAGGCCAACTCTTATTTTTGGCATGTTTTCTGGAAATACACTCCTGGTTCTAATCTTGGAACAATGGAAAACAGTCGCACAGATTTGCATTTTGCTCTGCCGGGTCGTAACGAGGTTGTTAGCTGAGCTTTAAAATGCAAAAAGAAGAAATGAGGAGTTGATCAAATTAATGGCATTTAAGCACTTGAGCAGGCTGTTCATCAACTGAGCAGAAGGTTAAGACTGTTACCCAAAACAAACAAGCAAAAAAAATTCTACATGGATTAGCTGAAAACATTCCTCTAGGAATGCAATTGTTTCCTTTAAATTGGTAGGAACATTGTGTTAATTTCTGTTTTTTTTTTTTTTTAATTGTCAAATAATAATAGATAAATCTAAAATATATCTCTTTGTTTAATAATTTGGTATTTTTCTTCTTGCCTCTGAAAAATAATTTCGATTGAATGAACAGCACTGTCCTGTTCAAAATGTGGCAATAAATCTTCTAAAGTAGCAACATGTATTTGTTTTTTCTTATTATCTGTAAATGGCCCTGGACGGCTTCCCAAGCTTTCTGCTAACTCATGCACATCAGGTATTCAGTAACACTTCCCTGTGTGCCCAGATGACCTCTGCATGTGGATTTTAGGCTCTCAGTTCATGTCTCGAAATGGAGTTCTGTTATCAATGTTCACTTTTCTTTTTGCCATACCTCCATCTATCCAGGTCCTTGTTTGCTGCAGCTTCACTTCTCTCTATTGTCATTTAATTTTTACCGTTTGGTTCTGCGAGGCACCGTTAAAATCGACATGTGATTTGGCCAAAATAATTCATTTTCTACTCTCTTCCCAGAGTTGCACAACCTACCTTTGCATCCAATTGTCATGCAAATTTTGAGCGAACTTTTAAAATACTGCGAGAAAGAAAAACAAAAAAAAGGGAATTAGATTCGTTTCCATCTACTGGTTTGGAGCGAATTAACCAGACTGCGTACAGCATAACTTTGTAAGATGTCTACACTAACCATGGTTTTCATAAACAAGATGTAGAGGATTCCAACTGACATGGACCTCACATCACATCTCGGAGAAATGAAGAGTCTTTCCCTCTGAGTCAGCGGTTTGCACTTTGAAATGCTTATGAGTTTTGTGCCTCTGGTAAGGCACAGATCCACCTGTGGATGAAAACGTTCACTACGTCAGAACTTATATAGCAAATGTGTTTCCACTTTCCCTTTAGCGCATTTACTCTTTTTCAGAAAAACCAGAGGCAACCTCACGCGAGCTCATAAGATTGAAGGAGTTATTTTGAATTTTTCTTTTTCCCATCAACCTTTTCTAACACGATATTTCAAAATGCACATCAGAGACGTTGGTGGAAACAAGCCAACAGTCTCTCTGTAACTCCATTCCGACCTACGAATTACACTCTGAGCAAGCTGACAAGATCACTTTGAGAACATCCTATTTAAAGCCAGGAAATTGCACTGACCAGGAAGTGACACTATATAGATAGGTGTAGATAGGAATTGCCGTGTAATATGGTTTGTCCTGAAAGTTCCTCAATCAGAAATAATCTGCATCTTACACAACTACATAAACATCTCTCCATCCATTTTTATTATTTTCTTACACCTGGTGAATTTATCTCTCTGCCCCTGATGTTCCTGATGTTAGGTCATTTGCTCACAAATCGATGTACATGTTGAAACGAGTCAGACGGTGTCTGTTTATACGTCTGATTTATCTCAGTGTCTGCATCACTGACGATGCTCTTTACTTTAATCCCATGGGGTCAACCGCTAACTGTCTTCTGGTCAACCACAACGCTGACACACATTTCCACCAGGAATGCTTCTGCATGCACCTGACTCACACCGACAGTTGCCATGGCAACCATCCCTGTCAAAGAGTTTGTGTGTGTAAATGATGCTGAGATGGCATTGAAGCCGCCTAATAGTTCAGAAGGCATTTTAAACAAGCACGCTCTTTATGTCCACTGTGTGGTTTTCAATCCTACTGTGGATATGTAATAACAAACAGTAAACTGTAAACATCTTGAAGGTGTAATAAAGTCACAATGCGGGGTTGGAAGTAGGAAATGGAAAAAAAAATACCACTTGGTCATGGTTTGATGTGAAACGAATGAAGCCTTTTAAAAGAACCGGAGTAGTTTTCAGAATATATTATTACCCCACGGCCCAAAGAAAGGGTCTGGTAGGAAGATATCACTATATTTCTTTTTTTAGCATAATAAAATTAATGTTAAAATCTTCTTCTGAGTTTAACACACTTACAGGGAAAAATGCTGTGAAATGATGACAGATTTATGGCTTATACTGGGTTTTAATCTCTCTCTCTCTCTTCTCTGGACGCAAAAAGAGAGAACCTGGATGTCTACATCGTTCAAATCCTTCAAAAAATGTGTTACAGTTCCATCTTTCCATGCAGTTTGTAGTGAACAAATTACAAAGTGCAATTCCTGTGGCAAAATTATTGACTATAGTTTAATTGCTGAAAGTCACACCTCACTGTCAGCCGCTCACAGAAACCTCAGCAGGCATAAAAAATACATCCTGCACTGTACTGCAAAGAACTATAAGCAAAAATATTTGGGGCTCTGTTGTTTACAGGGTAATTACCTTCTTTTAGTGCCAATTCAGTGTTTGTGAGGAAGGAAGTACCTTAGAGAGTCCAAACTAATTTACTGCATGTAGTTTGGGGCATTCGGGTTATGGCATCAAAAGATGTCTGAAATGGAAACAAGAGTCAGAGTGGAGGCAGAAAGAGTGAGAAACACCGAGAATCACGCAGGAGAAGAACATCCTCCTTCTCTACAGTCCACCATGAAGCATCTGATGCAACTCTGTGCAAGTCCAAAGATAATGAAAGTTGGAGTAAGATGATAATGACGAAGAAAAGGAAGGATGAA